GACTTCACCAAATTTTTTTAGTTTGACCACCTACACTTGGGTGCACCATTTAGAAATCAAGCACACCACCCACCATGACTATCGCTGCCAAACGCCGCCATTGCCCAACACCACCACCAACCATACCCACCATCACCTCCAGTACCCAGCACCACCCATAGTTGTCTACCCACCACCACCACCACTATGCACTGCTAGCACTCAATTTTTAATATATGTGTTGGAGATATATTAAAAATTGAGGCATAGATAACTATTTTTTAATTGATAATTCAAACGTATTTTTTAATAAAATACTTTTTATTTGATTGATTTATTGCTTGAACATTCAAACGGTGTTTTATTGAATGAAAGTACTTTTAAATTTTATAAAATCATTCCAAATACAAACTTAATTACTTAAAAGACTCCTTGATTGAACTTTAGGCTAATTTTCACAAAAAATAACTAGCAAGCTCCTCAAGGTCCGGAAGCTGATGATTGTCGTCATAGTTGTACATTAAAGGCACCATTCTTGCAACATTAAGAGAAGCTTTTCTGATAGTTGCAGAAAATGGATTTGGAGATAAGCACTCCTTGTTGAGGCTCTTCCATGAGTCCGAAATTTTTTTAATAACATGTTCTTGTGCGGTTTCAACTGAAGAGCCTTGGTGTTCTTTCATGTAGCACTCCACATACGATCCGTCATATCCATCTTGATTTTCATCCTGTCAGTTAGAAAATAGATTAGAGATTCTTAACAAAAGATGGCAATTGGACCAAATGACTACTATTGATGCAGTTGTTATGTCTGACAAAATTGTTCGTCTTCTTCCTCAGCTACGAAAATGTGCATGTGCCTGCATAAGCGGTTGTTTGTAAATTCTAGTTCAACCTATTTAATTATTTATCCAAGATTTTTTATACTAATACGACCTATTTATTAGTGATGACAAATGGAGATTGACACTTGATTCATGTGAATTTGATATTAAGACTAAAATTCCTTTTCTCACCAATAGAAACTCGCTTGATCTATATTAAATGAAAGTGGACAAAATCAGGTATTTGTTTAATAGAATACCAATCGAATGAGTTTATCGTATCAAAATTGATTATTTGTATATAAAACTAACTTAACCTATCAGTCATTGGTGTTTGAGCTTCGTGTTATTTTATCATTGATTGCCTGGCTTCTTTCTTCTATGGTAGTGTGCATAAAAGAAAGTTAAAAGTATTTTTACTTGTTTTCTTCTGTGGTGTCATTTACAATAGCATTTGCCCCTTCAAATTCAAATGACAATTTTTCATCTTAAGATCGTTCGGTTAGAAACAAAAGAATGATAGAAAGTAAAAATGATAAAAAGTGAAGTTAAAGAAAAAAAAAATGAAAGAAAATATATTTTCATGCATGTATTTAGTTAGCATGAAAAATTTGTGAGAAATTTTTAAAAAATTTTCATTCTATTGCTTAGAAGAATAGAAAAATTACAAGAATTTTTTTTTGATTGTCTAAATTACCCTTACTTATAATAAATTGGTCTAAATAAGGAAAAAAATATTATAATTAAAAGTTAATTTTTTTAAAAAAAAAATGGCTGCTAACCTAATTTTGGGATAAACATTAGTACAAAGGTCTTTGGGTCAAATTATAAGGTTAACCAAATTCATACCAAGATTTTTTAAAATTAATAACCAGTAAAATATTTTTTTTAAAAATAAGGGTGAAAATGGGAAGTTAATTATAATTCAAATTTTTTTTGCATTTCCTTGTGTTTTTTACAAGAAAAAAAGTGGTCTATTTGTGAGAAAATCTAATAATGAAAGAAAATTATTTTTTTTCCATCATTTTCCATTTCCTATTAAACAAACACGAAAATTTTAAAAACTCTCTCTTTTTGGCATTTTCTCTCATTCTCCTACTAAATAAACGAACCCTTAGCAATTGCGGAGGAAATAGAGGCCACAAAGAAAAACCAAAATATTTTTCCTTCTTCTCTTTGATTTTTTCCTTTTTAACTCATGTTGTCCTTTTCAATAAAAGTTTATTGTTACCTTGGCACTGCCCAAGTCATCCCAAAGACGAAGAATTGTTGCCACAGAAGTTATCAAACCTGGATTGTCCTTTACAAGACACTCAATTTCCTTGTCCCTACCATGACCCAGGAGGAAAAATAGGTGGACAAGCAAAACATATACACCTGAACTAACAATCCCATTCTTCAGGTACTCCTCTGCCTTTGGCAACTTCCCAGAAGCAAACCACTTGGCTTCTACAAGAAACGCATTGCACAGACTTGCCCACTGCAGCCAATCAACAGTCCATCACACATAATGCATCTATGTATACACAAATATTTTCAGTGGAAACGGCAGAGGAAGTACTCTTCCCAATTTCAATTTTTTAGAACTTTAATTTCTATCATCCAATCGGATTGCTTTTAATTATACTAGCAATGCATGACGTGTATTGTACGTAAATAAATTTAAATAATATTTTTTTATAAAATAATGTGAATTATATGTATAAATAAAATAATAAATTCAGTGCCAAATAATTAATCCGTATTTTAATTATTAATTTATTCTATAAGTCTTTGAGTACCTAATCTATCATTTATTTATGTATCTCTCTAACCTTTTTAGGCATTTGTACATCTAATTATATTATAGACTTATTAATTTTTATTTTATTAAATAGATTGATTAGATCCCTTATAATATTATTATATTATTGCATACCAAAAAATACAATATAACATATATTTGATCATAGAATTCAATCTGCGAACTATATGAATATAATAATTTAATATATATAAAATTTTATTTCTTCATATAGATATAAACAATTGTATGTAATTGTACTACTAATAAATGAGTTCAAAAAAATTTAGAAGTTTTTATAAAAGAGTCCAAAATAAGTTGAAAGTCAAATAAGAGTTAAAAAATAAAAATTTCATAAACATATATAGGTGGATATAATTGATCTTATCATAATAATTAAGGATGAAATAAAAAATTAATTTTTTTTTTTTGCAAATATAGATATTTATAAGTAGTATAAAAATAGATATAAATTAGAAATGACCTCATACGATATAGCGGATCCCCATTTGATTGCGTTAGTTTGAAAAACTATTCATAAGCCTTTATGCCACCCCATCCAATTTCTATATTATGGAAAAGCATGTTAGACTAAAGCATATTTTTGTTAATAAAATCTGATTTTTTTATCAATTTTGAGCCTAAATTAAAGTAAGACTCACTCATAATTTTGGGTTAACTTTGGTGAGTTCATGTTTTACTTCATGATGAGAATAATATAACATATTCACTTATTTAAATCATATAAAAGATGAGGGTGAAAAAAAGCTCCATAGATGGGAATCACACAAATACCGTTTCTCGGAGCGAGTCTATAGGATTCCATCCATATGCTTTGTAAACATTGTAACTAATTTCATTTGTGGTGTCATAGAGAGCCTTGAAACACTTCTTCATGTAGTTTGGTAGTTGTTCTATAGCAGAAAAGTCCCACCTGCTTATGATAATTCAATTACTAGCATTATAGATTCTGTTGACTGACATGCAATAAACTTCTATTTTGCTATTCTTGTGTACCTTTTGACAACTTCTGTGAAAAGAGTCAATTCATCGAGTGTCCCACAAAGATCGAAAATGTCATCTATCATGTATATGAGCGAAATGGGCTTTGTGAGCTCAATTCGTTGGTACGACAAGCTTGGATCTGTGAGCATGGCCATTGGCCACATGTACCATTTAAGTGGTTGATCCCTTGCAAGCTTTTACTCCTTAGCCAAACCTAGGTCTCTCCACCACCTAAGACATCATTGACACGCATTAGACAAACATCACCCTCAAAAAAAAAAAAGAAAAAAAAAATAGAAGAAAATGACACACTGATCCCTTAACTATCACTTAGATCTCCCTTTGTCTTCTCGACTATTAAGTTTCTCGTAGTGTCTCCAAAAATAGTTGAATTGCTTTTAAATTTCTCCAAATTCAAGTGTTTGTTATGTTTTCAATGGAAAATGTATATATGTATAACAAAATACATTTTACCAATTTTGATAATGGTGGTGTGAAATCAATAATCTCAATTAGATGTGAGATATGAAAAACATAATGATTGATGAGACAATAAAAATCAATAACTATAATTGAATGTACGATATCAGAAAGATCATTATCGAAAGGGATATAGGTGAGAGAATAGAAGTATAATTTATCTAAAAACAATGAACACCTGCTTTAGTTGTCATTAATGAGGTCTAAAAAAGTTACACACTGAAAAAAATAAACTAGATCATATATTATCGAATGGACGTACTTGGATACTTGACATATTTCGGTCTGGTGTATGGATTGAACCAAGCTGAAGTCCATTTTTGCCAGTGCTAGCAAGTCATTTTCCCATCCATTGGTACCTCTAAAATCTATGATAAAGTTCTTTGCTATGAATCTTCCCAAGCTCTTGTGGTAGGGATTTCTCAATGTGAATGCCACAGTTCTGGCTTGATGATGATCAAGACGTGTCACCCATTCATTTAAAACCTGTCTACTAAAGTTGGTCGCCTCATCAAGTATATCTTCTCCCTCTATACTTAGTTGCGAAGCCTCAAATAAAGCCACGACCCCCTTCAAGTCTTTACTCAGTTCTCCTATGAACTTCCCCTCCTTGCTGTTGAAGTTGCTAAACACATCTGTTTCAAATTGTATTAGCTTATCGTTGACACTGTTTCGGGTATTATAGCTCACAATCAAATTTAAACTCAAAAATTTACGAAACCTTTATCCTGACCCTCACTTTAAAATTTAAGAACCTACCTGGGGGGACATAGTAACCTTCTTGTCTCAACAGTCTAAAACCCAGTGAGACCTCATAAAGATCTTTGTATTTATGAACATCTGTGTTAATTGCCATATACTGCCTATGTAGAATTGCTTCAATCTCCTCTTGAAAGTGGTACTCGATGCCTAAGCGTTGGATAGCATCAATCAAAAATAGTCCCTCCAATGGCTCTTCTCCGGCTTTGCTCAGTACTTGCCGGACCTCCTTCAATTTTCTTGCGTGTTTGTTTTGAACGTCATCCTGCAAGGACAACCGTTAGCCACAGACAAACTATTTAGGGTAACTCTACGGTACAGCTATCAAATTTTGATATCACATTGGAAGTAATTACTACAAAATAAGATTGAGCATACAATTTAATCAAGGGAGGGAGGTGATAACAAAGTAAAGTTAATTCAGAACTGATTTTAACTTTTTTAAGTAATGATTCTACTTAGTTGTAACTGATCTTTTTGAATAGTAAATTCAATTAAAATCAATGGTAACTAATCCTTATGTACTTGTAGCTTTTTAGTATATCCAAAAATTAAAGATCAGAAATTGCAGAGAAACAAGAAATGATCTAACGAATAGTACCTCAACAATTGAAATGCGATTTCCCAAAAGATATTCATAATCCTGTGATGGATTAGAGACCAACGTGAGGTCGTGGGCTATGCTCCATTTGTGGCTGTCAGGCAGAGATTGAATTACAGGTACCCTAATCTTGCCAGTTTGTTGGGTGTTATATGGAGCAGTAGAGGATCTAAGGGAGTAAGAGGCCGACATGCCTTGACGAATAGCCATGAATATTATGAAGTTATTACTAAGTTTTTGAGAGATATCTTTCAGAAAGATTGATGATTTTGAAGTACTGAAAACAGGGACTTATAGATGAGAAATGATGTGTTTACCAAAATTTTTACCAAACTTTTTGGTTTTGAGAGACTGAACTGATGGTGTACCCACCTTTATTTCTTTTGGTGCACCAGATGCACGTTTCATGCTAAATTTAATTTGGGTAAATTCCACTGACACCCCTCTCTGTTTCTAATATTTTCATTTCTCCCCTACTTGTTTTGTGAAACATAATTAACACCCCTTGTGATGGGACAGTTTGTAACAAATTTCCCCATCAGTTAAAAGAGTTTAAGGGACAGATGGCTTTTGCTTTAATCAATGAACTGTCTGTCTCACGATATCCATGGGGAAATAATCTAGAAGACAACCGATTTAAGTCTCTCTTTTCTATCCTAAAGCTATTGTGGCAATGCTTACCTACCAGCTCAATTGCCACTATGACCGACATTGCCACCGTTGTCACTCATCACCTGTACTCCCACCAATTCACAACTCAAAACACAAAAATGACTCAGATCTTTTAATTCTGACGGTTTATATTACGACTTAAATTTTAATTTTAAACCACAAGAACTCACTCCGTCTATTTACATTTAGTCTTTTAACCATGATAAAAAATTGTACCTTGTTTGACTCACAAGAGATAAAAGAAGAGATTTGTAGAAGTGATGAGCTTGTTTGACATTAGATCTGTGGTTGTCCAATAGTTGGATTATGGTGTTTGGAAATAGGATTAGAAACCTAACAAAAAGGTGGCGGTAAAATTGATTATAGTCAAACTTCTGTCAACCAATGTGAGCCAACAATATTGATAAGGGTGTCAGTGCAATTTTGAAAGCAACAGGGGGTGCGGTGAAAATATCAAAAACAACAAGGGGTGCAGTGAAAATATCAAAAACAACAAGGGGTACCATTGTAATTTACCCATTTAATTTCAGTTAGCCGAAGTTGTACTTTGTTCACAATGGGATCATGTAAACTTCGATAGAGATGGAAAAACTGGGAGGAATCAGTTTACCAGCACGGATGTCTTGGCAAGCAAGATTTTGGAGGTGGCATACGTTCAAGACGTTGCAAAAATGGGTAATGTTTTTCTAACTATAATACTAAATTACTAATTTATATTGTGTCATCAAATTAATAAGTAATATTTTAATTTTAAAATACATAGTCTGAATCTGGACCATTGGAGTGGAGGGTGGCTCAGATCTGCTCAAATCTAGACTAAGTGAGGTAAGCTGCTCAACTCTTTTTTATTGGATTTATGGGTTCTCTCTCTCTTTAAAAGGGAAGAATCTCTTCCCTTTTTGGCGTGAACCTGCAATTTTATGGTATCAATCGAATTATGCCATTGTTTCGACTGAAATGATTTGAAATAGTGATGTTTTGCTCGAAACTTAGGAATTTTTATCTTTCACCCCTATTTTGTGTTGGTGTGTTAAAAATCCAAAACATTTTGGATGTTTTGATACGATATTTCAATCCTTGGTCCAAATAAATACTATAACACATAGTTAAATCAATAACAATAATTAATTAAGTTAACAAATTAGATCAATCTTTTGAATTTGTGTAACATTGCTCAAGTATAAAAGTGGGGTAAAAAAGTAACATTATTGGAATGGCTTATCATTTACTTATTGTTTTTATTCTCATTTGTCGGTCAATCAAAGATAAGCATTATCCTTAAAAAAAAATACCAAATATCTATTACCTACTAGTATAAGTGAATTAGCGCCCATATCAATGATTAAAGGGCAAATCCCACTTGGCACCCTCAAAGATACCAAAATTTTCAATTTGCACTTGAAAGTTTAATTTTTCCACATTGCACCCTGAATCATGCAAATGTGTTGCAATGTGGTCCATCAATAAATGGCCGCTTAAAATGCCATATGTTTTCAGCGCACGTGAGCAGCACAAGGAATGTTTAGGGGTTAATATATTAAAACAACAAATTTTGGTGCCAAAAATTTGGGGACAGTGATAGGCTTGTCTCCTTCATATTGAAGCTGGCGGTAAACTAGGGAAAGAGAGAAGAGAAGAGGTGGGGGGGGGGGGGGGGGGGGGGGAATTTGCTATTGTGGTAGGCTTTGTCAAACGAAGACATCATGGACAAATTTAAACCCTGGGAGGAGGTTTTTGGCGTGTGCCAGTCGTGAGGTAAGACACTATTTTTTGGGTTTTTTTTTTTAATTCCATTAGGGTACATAAATTTTTTCATTAGGGCTCCATTCGGGTTTAAATTTTCCATCATAATTTTTTTTTTTTTGATTCCATTAGGGTTTAGAAATTTTTTGATTCAACCTTGTTTGATTACACATCTATTTTCAACTTTTGTTACATTGTTAGGTTGGTGGTCAGTGTGATTACTTTGTATAGATCGACCCACCAATATGTTAGAAGCAGAAAGGGACAGGAGCAGAATGAGGACGAGCATGCATTGGTTTAGTCTTCTCCAAAATGAACTGAATTTCCTTCATTGTGTTCCAACCAAAAAAAAAAAAGCAAAATGAACACTACTGCAGTTGTAGCAAAATGAACACCACTCCAAAATGAACAACACAGACAATGCAAATCCAAAATGATCTGAATTTCTTTCATTGTGTTCCAAATACTTTCTTTGCTTTGTCCTTGGAGTTCATTGATTTGGTCTTTTGTGGAAGGATAGGTTTGGGGGGAATGACAATTAATTTACTTGGAGCTCGAGCTGGTGGCCTCCAATATCTGTTTGGTGCAGGAAGGACCAGCATATGGCCACACACACACAAACAATAAATAAGATAACAAACAAAATATTATTAAACACATACAAAATATCCATAATCATATGTCATATGTCATGTAAGATACGAAAATGTACGCACTTCTTTCGCTACTAGTTTTTTTTTTTACTCTCAGTGATGTTACTAACTTAAGTATCGGAGTACCTCTGACCAGCCCATCCCGATCTCTGCAAGAGTTGTACATTTTTGCTCACCTTCTCATTCAAATCAAATTTCATATTGTCACTGATTGAAGGTATAAGATTTTTACCTCGAACAACACTCTTGAACAATACAAATTAATATCTTTAATATTAAAAAAAATACGACGTCAAATTACAATTCAATATGATCAAAACATTATTAATTGAAGAGTTCTGGCAATTTAGAATCGGTTCTGTTATGAACTAAAGTCACAAACAAAATAAAACATAACGAAATAGAAAAATATAACGCAAGAAATTTACGTGGTTCAGCTCAACAAGCAAGTCTACGTACACGAACGAAACACAACGGTAAGATTTTACTATTAAAAAGTTGGAGATTATAAAGTTTTTGAAACAAATCAGCAAGAGAACTATATTTGCCCTATAACTATTACAAAATTAATAGTGCCAAAAATCCTCTTCTCAATAAATTGGTATTCTCAAAGAAGACCTAAAATCAAAATAGAGCAAAACTTCAAAAATCACCAAAACGTCATCGACCTCAATAGCAAGCCACTTTAGAATATTGAAACTTTCATCACATATATATATTAAGAGAATTCTTTTAAAGTTTGGGATTTAAATCACAAAATTCCATGTTGGATTAAAACTCCATCATCGGTTGACTAAATCAACGTATACCCAAAAAAATAATGAAACCAACTTATATTGGAACACAAACACTCTTGAACCTTATTCTAATAAGACTTAGAACTTGACAAGTCATTATAACAGGTTCCAAGTTTTGGATTATTCCCGGATGAACTCCACTAAGTTGGAACTTGACATGTTCAGAATATAATTTGATCCGATTAAATCATAACTTATAAAAAGTTTATAATATAATTTGATCTGATTAAATCATAACTTATAAAAATTTACTTTTTAATAACCTAGAAATTCCTGCTATCAATCAAATAAGAGAATTCCTCATTTATAATTTAACACATGGTGATAATTAAACAAAGGTGTTTGGTGTTTTCCTAGGACCACGGTCAATCAGTGATCTAAGCCCTTCGATTTTCTAGCTGGTACGATCTACGTATGGTAAAAAATATTCAAGTGAACATAAGCTAGACAAAAGGCATACTCTGTTGAACTGGTAGGAACATTGTTACTGCTCGTCCCCTTCTACCTTCTTAGCATGGCGAACAAAAGTAAGATATTGAATCTTTTATTTAATACTGGTGAGTTACCCCCGTGCAAACCATACTAAGTAGAACTTATTTTCGTGGGATATCAAAAAATCTTAAGTCTAACATGACTACATTTAGACAAAATTGTCTATATATTAGAATACACTAGGTTATATAATATCACTAGTTATTGCTCGTGTTTGAAGGCATTGAGTAATAAAAAAAAGTCAATAATAAAAATATTTGTATATACACCCAAAATCAAATCACAAACTTAGAGGAGAGAGAAAGGAATTTAAGCACCAGTTGTAATAGGGGTGAGCGGTATTAGTGGTGGTGGACGACAATGGTGGTGGTGGGCGACGGTGATGGTGGTTAACAATAGTGATGGTGGGGCGACAACAGTGGTTGTAGGGGTGGTGGGTTATGGTGGTTGTAGGGGTGGTGAGCAGTAACGATGGTGGTTGTGGGCAGTGACGATGGTGGTGGTGGGCTAGGACGGTTACTTTTATGGGGGTGGGTGAGCTGGTGGTGGTGGAGGTGGTGGTGGGGATGAGTGACAGTGGTAGGCGATGACAGGTAATTGTGCTTGATGGAGGTAAGTGTGGTGGGGGTGAGTGACAGTGGCTGGCGATGATGGTGGGCGACGATGGGTGGTGGTGGGTTATGGTAGTAGGTGACGGTGGGTGGTAGTGGGCAATAATAGTGGTAGTGGGTGTTGACGATGGACAATTATGGTAGTGATAATAAATATAAGAATGAGATGACGATGGTGGTGGGTGATGGCAGTGGACGACGCGATAGTGGTGGTGGTGGTGGTGGTGGGAATGGGTGTGAGA